GAGGGTCTAGATGGGGTGGTACCCAAAACAGTAAACATTAGATTTTTTAGTAATTTAACAGTAACAGTAAAAAAATTCACATAACAGTAAAATTTTGCTAATTTCATGAAGACATATAAAAAACCACTTAATTATATGTGGATCACACAAAAATAAATTAAGTTTGTATTAGGGAAGCAAATGCACAGTCGTCTAAGGCAGCGTTTACACTGTACCGTTTTTGTAGCGTTCTCGTATTGTTCTTAATCCTCAAGGGAACGCAAGACAATAGTCTAGTTCTCTCGATCAATACGATAGCGTTCCAGTGGCGTGCTGGGTACTGTTTTTCTGGGGGGGGCCAGTCGGCTGGCAACTAATATGCGCCCCTATAATATTACCCTTGATAAACGAGGGCCGAAGGCACGAGCCGAGCGCCGCAGGTGCGAGGTTTGTCTAGGGGGGTCCGGGGGCATGCCCCCCAGGAAAATTTTTGAATTTAGAGTCTTTGAAATGCCATTTCCTGGACTTTGGGGGAAGATTTGACAGAAATCTGATGGTCAGGAAACGGCATTATAACGTATCGAAATTTGCAATTTAGTTTGAATTTAGTAGTAGTAGTACTTATATTATGCAATACTAACAACTTCCAGCGATTAATCTAATCTCAATTCTATTCTCTACTGATCTAGTGATCTGAATACAATTACAACATACGGTTCTTTTATACAATAACACATGGACCCCACGCATATGCATTTTAAGGTTTCCGGCTGCCTGGTGCCAAAAGGGCGCGTTTCAGCATTACTCACAATACATTACTCATGATGTTTCTAGCGCAAACATGCAACTAAATTGCGTACACAACTTTACATTATCATAACTTAAACTATCTAATTTGCGCCGCTCTTGTGATTCGTGAAGCATAATAAAGGGCATAACACCAGCAAAAAAAGGCATAATTCCCGTGATCACTTCGAAACCTGACCAATATTCCGGTGATGAGACATTGCGTGTGATCACAGTTCATGTTTCTATATGAACGATTTCGTGTGAGTCGTGAGGTAGCAAATTAGCAAATACGGTTAGACAAAATAGTCTGTATAATTTAATATATCACTTTGTTACCTATGCACTTAGTCTGTTTTATAAGCCTATATAAACACATCTTTTCTCGGCGGAAGTAAATATATTTTTTCGAATGCGTTTTTTCCCACCCACTTTCAAATCTCGGCGCGGGATCGGCGCCCCCTTTTCATTTTTGCGCCCTGCAAGAATTGCCAACTGGGGGGGCCGTGGCCCCCCGGCCCCCCCTGCCAGCACGCCACTGGTAAGACCTGTAAACACACTCTGACATCGCTTTTAATATAGTTTCGTATTCTTTTGTCTGAAATTTAGTAGTTTAAAGCCCTTTTTGAAATGCATTAGACTTTTTATAGTAATTACAACACTTAACTGCGAAGTCTTCCATGACAGTAAACAACAAAATATTTAGCGTTTCAACATTAAACACTATAGAATATGGGCCGTCAACACTTAACGTTAAACCCCATCTAGACCCTCCAAGGTGTTTGATATTCAAATTGCATTTTTCCTACTTCCTGAACAGGCATCTTACGGGCTATTTACATGTTGGGAGGGTGGGGTGATTTTGATGTATTGAAATAAGGCTAAACAAAAGTTTAAATGCTGGTTAACAGAACTCAAATGTTGTAAAGAATATTTTGCAGTTCAAGAAGATTATTATTGCCAGGGGCGTCGGAATGGTTGTAAAAGTGGGGGACACACTTTCTGTCCACCAAAGACAGGTGACGACAGGTAACAGTGTAGGGGGGTCCAGGGGCATGTCCCCCGGGAAAATTTTAAAACTAAAGTCTCTGAAATGCCATTTCCTGCACTTTAGAAGGAGATTTACGGAGTTCTAAAGGTAACAAAATGTCATAAAATATCTCAAATTGTTTTGTCTACACAGGTAACTGAAATAATATCATTTAACTTTGTGGTTTATTACCGACCATTGTTAAAAAGTGGGGGGCCCAAGGACATTTAGCCCCCCAACTAAAAAAGTGAGGGTGCGGCAGCCCCCCTGGGCCCTCGCTTCTGCGCTTCTGAAGCCCCATTGCTGAAGCTCCTGATTATCGCTGCCTGAACAACCTTTCATTTACAGTTAACTATAATCTATCTGAATCTCTTGAAAATAATGTAGTCTTGCTGAATTATGCACCATAACTTATTTCAATATATCGAAATCATCCCACCTCATATCTCGTCCTGGCAAAGCGGGATCATATTCAGCAAATTGTGCATGCTGCCTTTGTTCCCTTGGGGGCGAGGCAGCACTTTCCTTGCGATAGTAACTCCTAGTTATATTGCATGTAATCCAACTATCACATAGTGCTTATATAACTATTACATAAGGACGGTATATATTATAATATATATTATAACGTATGATATCTTTTCACAAATGTGTTTACTTCGTTCTCAGAAAACTCAAATTACACACTATTTATATGTTATTATAACGATTCGTATTGTCATGAGTAACATGTCATTTCCATGTAGTAAACAAAATTTATGTGTCTTTTTTGAAAAAGACCACGTATTCCTATAGACAAAATTTTGCCAAAATGATGTTTCTATATCTTGTTGTACCCGCCTATGCGATCCTCGAACATATATCTCGTATAGCCTAGGTCCAATGAACTGAAGTATGTTTGATTATGCACGTTGGCACCCAATTCAAATTCTCTAGTATACGTCTTATGCCACCATTCTGATAAAGAGCACTTATATTGGTATAGATCCATTATCAACATTTCATTTTATTTCACCACAGTTCGACCCACGTTTCTGATCTTACCTCGCAACATTTCGGTCAATGAAACCTCGTCGGTGAATATTCAATGTACAGCCAGAGGCCCTGATCAGCCAATAATAAGCTGGTATCGCCTGCTGACGAATGGTCAGAAAATGAACCTAAATTGCAGTAGTAATGAACTTGCAATCACAAAAGTTGACAGGGACGATAGTGGATTTTACGTCTGTGCAGCTAGGAACTACGCTGGATATATCAACACTACATTCTTCGTCAACGTGCAGTGTATGTATACATTAGATTCTTGGGCATATCGCTCGATAGAACTTAGAGTTTACGGGATTTGGAAAATGGAAATTTCGAGCGGGAGATTACCCATAGTTGATACCATAGTTGATATATATGACATGGTTTGGAAACCATTTGTTTTAGGTGATTGTGTACCTTGTGCAGGATCACGGTTGAAAAATCCTTTGTCTTTCTATTGTTTGACAATAGTCAGTTCAGAAAGCTTGGCGAAGGGAATGGGTATTAAATATTTGTTTTGCCTACCAGAGCTATATCTTACGGCATATTTTGAAAATAACGAAGTATTACCACCATTTTTCGATGGAGAATGTTTGTGTTACATCGTTTGGTCAATTCTCATTGATTAAAACCAATATGTGCAGGGTCAAACTGACTGTTCAACCTCCATGTTTGTTTATAGCGTAATTTCTTTGAAGTTTGCCGGGTTTCCTAACCAGGTCTTATAACAACTATGTTGATACTGAAGAGATTACAGTAGATAATTGCACGCTCCTCCAAAAAGTGCATGGAGTCAAACGCGAACTTTCACTTTGTTACATCACTGGGGCCGAATGTTCGACTGCCGATCTATAAGCTTAACCCTAGATTAACCTAAAATTCAAAGCAAACTTCCCAACAGCGTGATTATAAATTTGGATTTCTTATAATAACGTTAAACGCATGCATTTATTATTTCGCGTCAGTTGCATGCGAGAACTTTTAATTGACTCCAAACACCGCAAGTATACCGTTACAAGCAGTACAGTTGAACCCCTATTAAACGGACTGGTTGGTAACTACCTGTACGAAGAGGCCTTGTGACTGGTTGATTATAACAATAAACGACAATAAAGTACTATTTAAAAAATGGGCAGCAGTGTTTTATCAGATATAATGAGTTTTTAAACACTGATCACTTTTGTTTCAGAAACCAAACACAAAACGTCATATTAGGTCAGAGATATTAGGTAGTAGGTACGAAACGGACGCTTTTGGGACCTCACAAATGTGTCCGCTTGAAGGAGGTGTCCGCTTTACAGGGCCGGGGTTATACTAATTATGTTTTATTAACTTCGTGTAGAAACCCTGGGGCTATTACAATAACAACAAGCTTCATTTAGTTCAGTTTAGAGAAATTTTACCGCTATTTTTTATTTCTTTTCTTGGTCAGACCCTCCATACGTCTTAATTTCTGAACAGAAAGTGAGCATAGTCGCCGGTGCACATGCTATCCTGCGCTGCCCTGTGAATGCTAACCCAGCAGCAGAAATACAATGGATAACTCCAGTTTGGTTTCAAGGACCACGTCTTACCATCACGAAAGTGAATATTTCACATGATGGACAATATTCTTGCAGAGGAAAAAATTTTCTGGGCACGACTGTTGCTTCCCTGCAAGTCCAAGTAATGAGTAAGTAATCTAAGATAGAGTTTGTTTTTGCTAAATTATTATATGTTTCCATCAAAACAACGAACATTTGTATTTTAAGAACTAGCATCCGTTTGGTGGGATATGGGGGATTTTTGTGTCGCTTAGACTGCATGCATAATCGCGGGTTCTGAGTGCATGTGGATGGAACTGGACTTTCGATCTCACGATGCGACCATTGGGAATAATTATTTGGTGGTAAACTGCAAGGAGAGAAGACGGCAACAAGCGAAAGAGCGAATTTAGAGATGTTAAAACACAGTGTCATTGTTAATCAGTACTATGTACTTCACTAAATCACTCCTTCCTTTGTTGTCATCCTTTTTTGCTGAGCGGTTTGCCACCCAAAAATGGCGGACAAGGCTTGGTCGCATGGTGAGAGTAATTTTCAGTTGAAGCACTAACCCTAATTAATTGTAATGTAATAAGTGTAGTAGCTTATAAGTTATAAGTATGATTGCATAAATTATCATGGATCTCAAATTGCATACACTTGTCCATTGGACTTTCAAAAACTCACTCTATTTTCTTATCTAGCTCCGCCCCATATTGTTGACTTAAAACTGGTTCACCTACTCAATAATATTGTATCAATATCCTGTGTTACCATTGGAACACCTGAATCAGTTGTTGATTGGATCGATCTAACTCCATCACCGGCCGGCTTTTTCAATGTTCATGATGGAAATCTGCAAATTGAGAAAAAATATATCAACAACATGAAGTTCCTATGTAACGCTAGCAATGTCTACGGTTGGATGACAAAACATGTTGCAGGTAATGTTTTTTTTTAATGTTCCCCAGTTCCGGATGTCTTATCTTCTTTTTCGAAATATTTCTCTTTGTTTGATATATAATTGAATTTAATCTTTGATGAAAATAGTTTAAAACGGTGAAAAATCCTGATAGATTTCATTTTCTGCGAGGGTTTTTTAGGGGGCGCCGAAACTGCATATGAAATGGAACAAAATTTTGTCAATTCTACTTAAAAATCAGCCAAATGCCGAAATGGCTGTGAAGGAAAGAGAGGCGCGTGATAAATTGACCCTAGAAGTACTTACGTCACACAATTTTCAATCTGAAAATGCATATACATTAGGCATACGCAACACAATGTGGGATACATCCTTCCCCCTTCCATCGACACATATTTTAGGAAATACATAACGTTGGACGCCAAAATTTGAGGTGACCTCCCCTGATGAATAAGAGCCAGCACGCCATTGGTGGTGCATGAGAATGAGGGAAATAGGATGTCCACATTTCCTTGGGAAACAAAACTATCCAAACCAATCGTGATATTGCTAAAACCTGCCTATATTAATGTAATACGACGACGACGATATTGCTATATCTATCGTTAAGAATCTTCTTTTCTTTGTAGTTCCGAGCTCGCCATATAACTTCAATACAACCAAAATATCATCCAGCTCAGTAACATTTTCGTGGTTAACTGACGATTCAGAAATCATCAGCAATTTTATCGTTGAAAGGCGTTCAATATCTGACTGGGTTACAATCAATTCCTCAGTTATCTCACCGTGGTTTGAGGATCGAAATCTATCACCATTTACCACGTTCCTGTATCGCGTCAGTGCTGAAAATGTACTGGGAACGAGTAAGCTCGGTGGTAGTTTTAATGTTAGCACTAAGGAAGGAGGTACGTTCTGTCTTGAAATCATGGGCCGGGTCAGCATTAGTAGGACCGGGCTTGGGCGCATATGTCACCCACCCCTTGTGAAGTCATTCAAGTCTCTAAAATGCAATTTTGCATACAAAAGATTGACTACGCTATAAACTCGGCCGTGTGCTTTTATCTACGCGCCTATATTAATTAATTAAAACTGTAACATTTTGCTCAGATTGATTAATGTATTAAAGAATGAATAAGAAAAGAAAGATATCGATACTTGTTAACAATGACACTGTATTTTGGTGTTGTTACAAATCTGTAACTGTCATGACTGCCTTTAGATTGTCTGTCTTTAGTGACTGTTGCTTTTGAATTTCGGAATTAAACCTTTAAACCGAAATGTCACCAAATTACACTCTGCCTCTGGATATAGTTAAGTTTTCATATGAAGTATCTCGTTGCAATGTCTTACTAAATTTCAACTATAACGGGGCCCCACCAAGATATCTATGGGCCCCACAATGAAGGGAAGCTGAGGTCTACCGGGGACCCCGCATTGTAACCCAGTCGGCTAATCCGCCATTGCTTGAATACAGTGCTTGAGACATTTTTACACAAATCAAGATAATCTTTGATCATGTTAAAATAACGGATCTCTTCATTTAGTGATTATAGTACTTTGAGCAGATAACATTCTCTCCCATTTCCATTGTTTGCTGTTTACAGTATTGTTTTTGGTATTGTCGAGTCGAATGTTGTAAAACATTATATATATCAACATAATGATATGAATTGTCCAAAAATGTTAATTGGGTGTGTACATGAACTTGTGGTTAGAGCTCGACAATTGGCCTCTGTAGCCATGGGCGTACCGGAAGGAAAAATTTAGGGGGGCGGAAAGAAATTTGCCCGACTTTTTCCGTTTTTGCCCGACTAAAAAATTTTTTCCGGAATTTATTTTGGCGACCTCCCCCCCCCCAGTGTACCATTTTAGGGGTCAAAAAATTTTTTCGGACATACCAAAATTTTCCGGAACCTACCAAAAATTTTGGACACATCACAAAATTGACCACAAAATTTACAGAATTTGTCTTATTTTTTTTTTATACACCAAAATTGCCCGACTGTTCAGCGAATATTGCCCGAGTATTGGCTGCCGCCCCCCCGCCCGGTACGCCCATGTCTGTAGCTCAGTTGGTTAGAGCACTGCACCGGAATCACAGGGCCGCAGGTTCGATTCCTGCCAGGTATCTAAAGTTGCATTTTTCACAGCTGTTCCTAGTTAGGTCCAACAAAATGTATATAAATTTCTACTCGACAATTTCCATCTACAAGACCATCAAATATGTGTACTGTAATCCTATGAAAATAGAATAATTTATGACGCACCTTGTAATGAATAGTGTTTAATGTACTAGTGGAAAACAGCAAAAACAATCGGATTCATTGATGTTTTATTCTTAATAATGTCTTCTTTGTTCTTCTATAGTTCCTTCCTATCCATCAAAACTCGAAGCAAAGTCACGATCACTCACCAGTATTACAGTATACTGGGAACCACCAACAGAACCACGTGGTCAGCTAACCAACATTGTGTATGAAATGTATTATAAAGAAAGCACAACCTTGCCTGAAAATGAAGTAAAAATTGCAGTTGAAAACATGAAAGGTCATATAAGAATACAAAAGTTGAAGTCGAATACTTTATACATAATAAAGATACGGGCAGGTCGACAGACTGATGGCGGTCTTAATTGGAGTGATTACAGATGGCTACGTACACGAACTCTGCAAAAAGGTATAGGAGTAATGTATAAATCCCCTCGGATCGCCTTGTTTTCAGCTCTATATATTAGTTCCTTATTATTTTATTTTCATTTGAAGCTGATAATGAGCTAATACAGCAGCAACTTGGTACAGAAAAATCCAATACAAAACTTATTTTCGCTATTTCAGCACCTACGACTGCACCAAAGGAAATAAAAGCCGTTAGCAACGGTCCAAGAAAAATCTATGTGACCTGGGAGGTAAATGTTGATCTCAAATCATTAATAATAGTTCATCAGGGGAAAAAACCCCAGGGGAAATCAAAACTGTATCGATGTTTCGATATTCGAGAAGAAAGGTTGCATAATTAAGAGAATTTTCTATATACATGCGTGCTGATCGTGTGATTCAAAGGGCTGTCAACAAGCCTGTCGTTGTTATAGGGATATCTGTATGGGGCAAAATTTCGTATATGGTTATAACAGCTCAAATTTTAATATTTATTGCATGTTGCTATTTTATCAGATATAAAACAGTCGACTTTCTCTAGCCGTTTTTGTACAAGAACAACATCATTAGCCTCAGAACCGTCGGTATGTAAAGCTGCCCGAAACATTGCTGAAATAATTGAATATTGAAGTGCCTTTATTCTCCTTAGTGAATTAAAAAAAGTAGAAATTTAATGAAAGTTATAACATTATTTTACGATCTTTTTTGTCTTCATATTAACTATGTCATAAATATAAGTTCAGACATTTAGTGCTTATTTTCACTAGAGATCTCACACCTACGTTGAAGGATACAAATTACAATACAAGGAATATGAATCGATAAATTTGACCACAGTTGTGCAGATCAAATCATGGAATACAAGCAGTTATATGATAATGGGTCTCACGGCCAGTCGATATTATGAAATACAGTTGAATATGTTCACTACTGGTGGTGATGGACCATGGTCTCATCCCAAAGTTGTTCACACTGAGGCAGGTACGATATTACACAAGGATTGGAACAGGATTGGAAAAGGCTAAGCATGATATCCTGAATTACTCAATCAATGTTATCTTTCGAAGTCAAAGCCTTATAGGCAGATAACATTGATCGACGTCTGAATGTGAATGATTATCATAATAAGCTGCATTTAGAGGATCATTGGGGGAGAAGGGGGAACTTGACCCCTATTCCTCTAGTTCCTACGCAACTCATGATATAAAATTATCTTATATAGTGTATGCAATATATTTATCGATCATAATACGTCACAATCATCGTGTTTTATTCTTATTATAGACCGACTTGCCTTACCTGGTCCCATAGCCAGCTCCTCTGGCAGTTTACCATGGAAGATTGCTGTTGGTGGTTCTGTATTGGCTGTAATCTTACTCTTGCTACTTCTTCTCTATATATATTTGATGAGAAAGTCCAATCATAAAGAAAGATCAGGTAAATAAAATATTGACTGGAGTTACAAAATTAATACTGATCAGTGGCGTAGCCATGCAGCTCAGCAATTTAGTCCCGCTATGCAAATTCAAAATTATTATCATTATTCATTTCTTTAGAAATTGATTGTTTTCACAGTCAATGCATGAACACGAAAATATTTGCATAGCGGGACTAAATCGTCGGGCTGGCTACGCTACTGATACTGTTGTGTTTCGGAATGTGGTCAGAATATCCCATACGCTTTGGATAATAACTCTGGAATATTATTTCAGAAATAAGGTTTCAACTGACTTCTGTTGCCAAATTGAATCAATCTATTATAATGGCAGCAATGCTCATTATTTATGCACAATTAATTACATTCGTCATCCAGTATATCGTGATTTTGTTGGCATATCACTCGATTCAATAATAGTTAAAGGGTCTTGTAGATGGAAAAAATCGAGTGGAAATTTATACACTGGGACCTGTAGTTGCATTTTTCGCAGCTGTTTCTGATTAGGTTTATCCTGTCTACTGTTTATTTAGGTTCCTCATTACTATATCTCTACGTACCAAAATAGAAAAGTCCGCGTCGATCACAATTACATTTCGCATTTTTATCAATTAAATCTCTTGCTCTTTCGAGGTATGAAAATACTGTTTTGTGTTTCACTTCTAGATACCAAGAGGACGAAGAAAAAATCTCGTAAACACGGCGGGTGAGTGCATGCAGTATGTAAAATATGCAGTAAAAGGTCTAGCCTGCTCGCAGACCGAAATTTTGTTCAAAAGAGGCCATGAAAGTTCATGATTTGGAGAAACAATATATTCCTCTTTACTTCCAATATCAATTGCACTATCGATTTTTGCTTTTAGTTAGCGTCCCTTAACCCGTACCCTGGTTCCAGAGGTTCTTGTGTCTCTTGTGCAGTCGTATTATAAATTATTATATAGTAGAGAGTGAGATACTGAAAAATACACAGTGAGATATTTTCCATATCTTCACTATAGTGAAGATATCGATCACGTGACAATTTGACAATTTGCTTTTGAGCTAGCGTGAAATTTCACAATTTTTTGCTTGGGACTATATAATAAACAGAACATTACACGGTGGCTTGAAGATATGACTTTTATCTTCTCGTGTTAAAAAAATATTTTCTCACTCGCTGCGCTCGTTCGTAAAATATTGTTTTCACCACTCGAAGATAAAAGTCATATCTCCGCGCCGCCGCGTAATATCCTCTATTTACGTAATTTGTAACAATACGGCGGCACAAGAACCTCTGGAACCAGGGAACGTAACCGGTTGCACTCTTTGAAGATCAAGTATAAATGAGCTTGCTTACAGACGTTGAGTTGCTTGGACTCGTGCAGTTTTTTATTGTCTTTGAAGAAAACAGTCATGTTTGTTCTTTCATGGCTCGGATTAATGCAACTATCTGAAAAATACATGCAGAACTTCGACGTTTCAAGGCCCTTCGTCGGGAGCAAGGATCGACCTTCATTTACCTTTACTTGTTAACAATGCTGCGCTCTTTAATTATCATTTCTAGGTACGATTTTACTGACAATATGAGTGGCGTGTCAAACGAATCAGAAGGCAGTACTGAAGGAGTATACAATGTGAATATAGTAAATGACCATATTGATTTATCAATGTTTGATAACAGTCATCACACCATTGTTGCGCCTGAAACCATGTACGTAGAAAATCCAATACTTCCCACACATCAAGATGATAGTGACGACAGTGATGAAGCTGTTAGGTTGGCCACATTCATTGCTCGACCCAGTCCACACCCCACACCTCATCTGACTGGTCGCCGTCAGCTAGATGCAAGTCACGTGAATCCAGCCTATCACTCGGACGAAGATGACGACATGTACTCATTAAATGTTGACCGTGCAGCAACGACAAAAAGGTACCAAACTGATGAAAACAGTAATAACCCAGTTTATGCACAGGTTGATCTTGCCAAGAAAGAAAGAGACAAAAAAAACTCAAGAGAATAAACCCTAGAACAATGGACAACTTGCATGTAAAGGCTGCTCTCCAGTTAAGCGTTTTTCATACGTGCGTGTACGGACGGAAAAGTTTAAATCTTCACTAATTACCTCAACAAATGCATATTAAATCACACAGAAAACTAAATTCAATCCTTTTATTCAATTGACCATTTGCGTAATAGACTAAATTTTGATCTCAACAAAAATTTCATTACAGCTTGAAAGAGCATCACAAAATTAGTAATATTCCAAAGTTTCGTTGCAAAATGTTGTAAAATGCAGAAAATATAGCCTTGCGAAATTTGCAATTTTCAGTCATTTTAGATTACAAACCGGAAATTGACAGCCTCGAAGGGTTTGGGGCTGTCAATTTCCCGTTTGTAATCTAAAATGACTGAAAATTGCAAACTTCGCAAGGCTATATTTTCCGCATTTTACAACATTTTGCAACGAAACTTTGAAATATTACTAATTTTGTGATGCTCCTTCAAGCTGTGATGAAATTTTTGTCTAGACTTGTTTAGTTCAAAATTTAGTCTATTACGCAAATGGTCAATTAGTTTTTTCATAAGTAAAATTTAAAAGGATTTAAACTTTTCCGTGTGTACACGCACGTATGAAAAACGCTTAACTGGAAAGCAGTCTTTAGACTAAATTTTAATCTAAGTAAAGAGAAGGGAATCAAACACCACAGATAAGAACATAATGAAATTAGTAAAATTGCAAAATTTGGTTGCATCCTATTAGTCTTGAAACGCTGAAAATCGATGCGAAATGTTGTAAAGCTTGGCCATGTAGTCTTGCAAAGTTTGCAAATTTTGTATATGTTTGTATTACGTGCGGGCATTGTTACCATTTTCGGCTCAAAAATCAGTAACAATTTCCGCACGTAATTAGTCTAACCGTATGTCTCACTTTACAATATTTAAATGATCACTTTTATTAGAAATATACTGGGGGATCACTCCGTGTTCATTAGAAGTGACGCAACCACCTCGTTCCCAGGGCTTTGTATAGGCCTGGGAACGAATTTGGGAGAACACCGCGGTCAAACGTCCGTGTATTGACTTCTTGATTCGAAAGAAGCTCGAGTAAAAAGTGTAAAAAGAATTACGCCGGAACTTGTTTAAACTCCGTATACTACTTCTTCTTGTCACAAGGAAAAACCAATGAAATTCCTGAGCTTATAATTAAACATTTAGCCGTTTCCTTATAGTAAATACTTTTCCTGTATTTACTCCTAATTTTTGACAGTCCCGCATGCGCCAAGGCACAGGCGGGCGCGGGCAAATCGAGCCTGGGCCTCTTGTGGTTTGACAGCTAGCGGTGTTGGTTAAAGGTGACGTTATAAACTTAAACGAAGATTAAGGATGTGCTAACCACATTTCGCATGATTATACATTTAAGTTTGATCCGTTTACGGCTCAAAACTATTATTACGTAATCAATTTATTAATTATATTATTTATGTTATACGTAGAGTAAATTTTGCAAGATATTTTGAGACAATAAATATTTCTATTTCAAACGAGTCGGATTTTGATACATCTCATTAAAGTACACCTCAGCATTTTAACCTTAAAATAGCCTCACACATTCCAAGTAGATACATTGTCATATCTGGATATTGAATAGTTTTAAAACTAGTTCGAATAAACATATCTCTGATAACAATATGAACATTTGAAAGAAAAATTGATCGATATTTGAGGGATTATTCATATTGAATTAATTGAAGGTAGGAATATTGACTATTGAAGATAAATATTCAGCTTCCACCCTCGATTTAATTATACTTGATAATGATATACATGTTGCAATGTTTACTTTCGATTACATCGATCTAATTATTAAAACAACTAATTATGACGTGTTTTGACAAAGAATTGGTGCTGTATTGAGAATTAGTGCTGTTCACGTTAAAAGAACCACATATTATGTTATGGGAATGGATTATACTTTTCGAATTGACTGATTCTGAAATCTGACTGATTAAGAAATTAATTCTTGATTTTGGAACTCATGGTATTGCCAGAGAGATATCTCTTTTATTGGGACCATTTGCGTTTTACTAATGAATCCAGTCTTCGTTTTACAACCTAGTCTAGTAATTTCTCAAGTTCAGCCCAGTCCGTGTTTTTCATATGCCTACTGATATAAAACTGATATAGTTTTCCCCTCGTCGCGATCGCGCTCCGTTGCTGTTCTGCGAGATCCGAGGATGACTACAGAGTGTGCCAAATTGAAACTTCCTCAACTTTTTGTGAAAATTTCTGTGTTTATTCAGATAGGTTTAAGGGAAAAGCTTAGAATGTGCTAATTATTAACTATCAAAGTACGCAACAATTTGATGTACATTACGGGGGGGGGGGGGCATTACGTCTACAGATCCACTCCTAAAACTGCTTTTAACTGAATTGAAATGCTAATGTGTGATAGAAGAGGGATGCCCCCCTAGATTCCATTTCTCCGCCCATTTTTTTCTCCATTAAGTTCCATTTCAATACCCATGCAGTCATTTCTTAGACCAAATATCACAGTCCGGCAAACTCTACAATTTTTCCTGGCAAATATTGAAACGAACTGCGTCACCCCTCTTCCTCAGTCCAATGTTGTGAGCTATCCGAAAACAACTTCTTGTAATTCACTATGCTTCCTCTGCTTCATGGTGTCCCTCAGGGGTTCTGTTTGGGGCCACTACTGTTTATAATGTATTCCGGCTATTTAAAATCATAAAGAACCATCTTCCAGACGCCCATGCTTATGCTGATGATACTCAGCCGTACATCTCTGAAGCGGTAACTGCATTGCAAACTGCATTGCCGATATTAAGACATATGGATGCCCGTGGACAAGCTCGAGTTGAATGACGACAAAACTGAATTCCTTATAATTGGAACTTGTGCACAACTGGAAAACTGATAAAGATCACGGAGTTGAGAATTGGTCAGGTAATGGTTTCATCGGTATATCCAATGCTCCAAATCGGCAAATCGTGAATCCTGGTTTGATAACGGCAATTAATAAGACCTGTCAATATGTGATTAATCACTTACATAATATCAGGCAACCTCGTTCCCAGGCTCTATTTCGTCCACGCATTTGGACCCCCGATCCATATCTGCTAGCGGATTCGGACCCCCTTCTCGGGGAATTGAACTCTCTAAAATTCACAAAAAGAAGAATTTTTAAGAATCTCTAGTACTCCTCAATTTAGAAAATCGGCAATCTCTTATAATATTCTAAGAATCTTAAAACCTTTTTTTCTGTCTGCATGCTGCAAAAACTATAAGTTCACGTATGAAAATTATATACTGTGCCTGTGGTCCCAACACTGTAATCATTAATCAATCATAAGTCTTATCATATCGTTCTAAGCTACGTACTTGTGCTTTAATTAATTAACGTTGATTTTTATGAGAAACGATTTGCAGTTGAATGTGTATGCAGTATGGACTTTAGTTGTCAGTTTCAGTGAAATTATGATAACTAATGAGTAATGGCATGACTAAACTATCTTGGAATTTGCTTAAATTAATGACGAAAACAAGTTATTGAGATGCTAATTTTATAAAAAATTAGGGTTGAATGGAATGCATCACTTTGTTATGGTATCTTAAGCAAAAATAATTTGAAATATATTTTCATTTTCCGTTCATTGAAACAGTTAAGCGTCAGAGCAGATAGCAATTCCAAGGAGTAAAACACTTGTGCAGGCTTAAATACTCTGCGCGCTTCTCGCACATTCCGAGATCATAGAAATAAACCCATGGAGGGTGTGAATAGGTTTTCGGATCGTCGGATTCCGCCGAAAAAATTGTTCGGATTTCGGATTTGGCGAATATTTTACGCGGATTTGCGGATCTTATTAATATAGCGGATTGCGGATTTATCTAATATTTTGGCTCGGATTGTGGATTTTTCTTGCAATTTAGTTCGGATCCTGGATTGTGACTTCATAGTATAGAGCTTTTAGCGGATCCAAATTTAGAAAAGACCTTTGTCGGACGGCGGATGTTGCTTCAAATTCGGGCGGATCAGCGGATTTGTATATTAAAAATCAAAGCTTTGATCAAATTTTTTAATCAAAAATCTTCGTACGGTTTTTTGAATAAATCAGATGAGATTTATCATTTGTGACGATTTGATACAATTTGCAAAATACAATACGATACAATGATAAAATACGCGAGGGGTTCAAATTCGCGAGGGGAGTCCAAATCCGCTTGCGAATTAAGACTCCCATAGGCCCATATTCGCTAGCGCGGATATAGACTCCCGGTCCATATTCACTATCGGATTTGGACCGGGCGGTCCATTTTGAGAGGGGTCCAAATCTGCTGGGACACCGGGGCCTCCCCTTCAGCCCCGCGCGCTTTCGACATCCCTAAAACGAACAGCAAACAATTGCCATAACTTGTATCGAGTTATTACTATATCGACTCCATCCAAATCTCAATAAAGATGAGTTTCTATTTCATGTCGAGTATTATTCTCAGAGTTAGTCCCGTAGAGAATGTTTTTAGGCTTTTTCTCTCGTGGTAGTAATTCGGTCACTCCGTCTCGTGGTCCATCCGCGGTCAACTCGTGTGTACTTTTAGAACAGATTCCACTTTACTTCGAGCTCTACTTCAGTCTTTTAAGTCTTCTTCAGTCTTTTCCAGAAGCCAGAAGGTTTGAAAATTAATTGTGTAGGAGCTGAATAAATTCAAAAGAAATCTAAAAATGAAACAATATCTAGGCCGTGTGTGTATAACTGCACGGCATCCTCCAGTATGACTTTTGAAATCATATGGGTCATACGTCAAGGTCAACCTCTAGACATGCTCGTGTGCCAACCGGAAATTGTTACACGACGCTCCCAAAAGCCGTAACCACCTACGCCTACTTGTGGTCATGGTGAATGAAAGTACTCAGTTCAGTGCTCGACACCGTCATAACAGCTCACAGTACGGAAAACCACCTTTTATTTGCATGAGACTATAATCTTGCAGATTTCTCCTTATTCTGTGCCCAAAGGACAGAGCCCAAAAGAATATAATGACAGTAAGTATTACATCACTTCTAAATTTAGATTGTTTTGCCCGCCGCTGTGCGGCACTTTGAATACAGTCACGTGATATGTTCGGTCGCGGATGATTGGTCGTTTGCGCTGTGGTTGTGTTTTTGTCTCGCATCGTGGCGAACCGGCGAGTAAAACAATTCTATTTTGGAAACTATTTTGAGGATTTTTTACGGTTTTTTACACATATTTACGTAGAATGCTACTTTTGGAGCGTTGTCCTGTCTTTCCTTGAAAATGGTAAGCCAAAATACCATGGAATTTGCACGAAAATCGTTCCTTCTTGCCGGCATTTGAATTGCATAGTTTTCATGTGTTGTGGCAACATACGGCGAGTACACTCGATCGTAGTTGTGTAGGATGTGCCATGAAATCTGATAACTATAAATACACGGTATACTAATGGCTGCTATGAATATTTTTTGCATCCAGGTTGAAGTTTTGACCGAGCAGGAGTTAGAATTTCTCGACGCGTACGATAGGTAGGCAACTATAAACACTATTGGGATCTGCAACTTGTCATTTTGCCAAGCACGCTAAATAGAAACATTTTGCATGAAATGACTTCCATCCCTTTGGGCCGGATTTTTACCATAGTTTTCAAATATTTTGCATTATTTTGTTTCATATTTTGCAGCCGCCTGTTTGGCTTTCTACGACTGACAGAAGCAATATGCGAAAATCTCGACATTACACATAAATCACTTCTATCGAAGGTACAGTTATGCCAAATAGATATTCACAAAATATGGTCTGGAATTTGTACTACAATAATAGCAGAAATTGCAGATCGTACATAATTTTTCATCATTTATGATTTCTGCGTTAGAATATTAATGTGAATTGGTGTTTTGGTACATTTTTGCAGTAAAATGCTTTGTTTATGTTTTGTTTAAAGGGCATACGACACTATGATAGCACACTGATCAAAGAGGGCACTCAAGCTAACCCAAATATCTACTGTAAACTTGGACATTTCCACTTGCTTCTTGAGGACTATGTAAAAGGTAAACACTAAACGTATTAACGACATAAATTTTGATTTTGTGTATATTGAAATAAAATCCTGCCAATTTGCCAATTGCCATCAGTGTTTTGCTGGAGAACCATTCAACCGTAATTTGCCACATCCGTCAATAATCGGCTTTTCGCATTTTACGCTTTTATACTTCTGTGTGGAAAAAATCTTAAGCCGTGATATTAAATCACGATGGAACATGAGCGTCATAAAAAGACAGTATTTAAATTGTACTGCTTTTACTTTTTCACTTGCAGCATTTTTAGTAAGGTGGTGATTATTTAGGCTTGCCTTTTACTGGTTTAAGAATTTTCTCAAAATGACTTGAATATTAAAATGATACCCTTCATTTTGTATGTTCACTTGTTATGTTTCGTATATAAGTTTTGTTGTAGAAAACTGGTGAATAGGGGATTCCCTCACATTATAATGAAATCCAATTTGATATCAACACCTACACAGGTCTAGGATAAGCCTCTGTTATTTTCAGGGATTTTGGCCTGGTTTCAGCAATTTTTCTTGCCGTACATAATAGGTAAACGCATATATTATGCAAAATATCATGCCATATGAGAATATAATACACTGCATTGCTGCTGCTTATAGAGAGACAGAGCGATAGTTTTGTCCTGTGTTCTGGCAACAGTGGACATTGTTTAAATGCCATCAATGTCAACACTGTCAGAACAGAAAGGTCATTTTGGGTTGTGTGGAGAGTAGCAGCTGTTTACATAACAGAGTTTTGCAAGCTATATATATATATGTATGTAACAAGTAAAACCTGCCTTTCCAACAGCATACTGTGGAATGGGTCGTTGCAGAAACCTCCCCCACAGAGGTACAGTACCAGGGCTTGAATTTTATCGCAGCAATTGCCATAGAGGTAAAACAAAATGTCATGGATCATTGCAGCAACAACAGCAATTTTTTGCTGTGTATTCACTGTGCATTACTATTTTGATACTTGAATTCAGATGTTGATCAAATCATGCATAAACTAGTCTGAGTTTTAGTCTGAGTATTCTTCGAAAAAAAAAACACTAAAGAAATCAGTGCTGTAAGTAACTTTGTTACAAGTAACGAAATTACAAGTAATCGTTACTTTTTTAGTAACTGAACGGTAACTAGTTACCTTTAAAAATAAGGTAACTGTAACTGTAACGAGTTACATTTTGGCCTAAAATGAAACGATAACATGTTACTTTTATAGCCAACGTTTACAGTACGTTACTTTTTTTGCTACATTCTTGCGGTTAAAACTTACAATTCACTTCTCTGTTCTCAAAATTCTCCTCACTGTTTTCTACGACAACGCATGCTTCAGTTAATTAACACAGCTGAGAGATCCATTTGTGGTAAGGTTACATAATGTTTACAAATAATTAACATCAATCTGCTGACCAGTAATCATTAAGTTGAAAAAACTAGGCTGGATCGATATACCGGATATATCTGATATACAGGTATTTGTTTAGATACCGGTTTGGCGATATTGACAATTTAAAAATACCGATATACCGACATTTCGGTATTTTGCTGCCTAATACCGAAATGAAATGCTCTTTCAAGTCAAACTTGCTTACAATCACGTTTAGAAAGCAAAGTTAATACTCACAGATGCATGATTTTGTTCTTACAGTTCTAGCGGCTTTGGTTTAGCAATACCAGATGTCTTGTTTATTAAATCGCCTTAATCGGAAATATAAAAATGGCGAAATTTTTTAAGGAAAATTTTGACAAAAAAGAAAACTTTGATTTTGGAAGGTGGAAGTACAGTACTAGCATTTACGAAGCAGCGAAAACCTTTTCTGGCTTTTCAAGTTTTTTTACATGCTTGCTAACTTGTTTATGTGTTAGTTTTAAAAATGCAACATTTTTTATGTTTATAACTATTAGCAGCTTACTGAAACACCATCTGAATTTATATACAAAACGAATATTTTTCTGAATGATTCAACACTTCGACGCCCGATCGACGGCCTACTAATAATTGCCGCTTAGCACTGTTAATTGTTAACATAGCTTGATAATGCGAATCTTGTGACATTTGCACTAATAACAGTATGTGCCACATTAATATTTTGTCAAAACTTGATTTTTCTTGACGGTCAGCACTTCAGTTTGGCTTAAAAAAAAACACGTTAAAAATACCGGTATTTACCGGTATTCTAATGGCGGTATATCGGTATTCGGTATCTGCGATATCGATCCAGCCTAAAAAAACCTGGGTTTTTTCTTACTTGAAGTAACTTGTAAATATTGAAGTAATTTTGTAACGGTAACTAGTTACATAAGTGTAACTTTTACCAGTAACTAGTTCCTTTTTTGGGAATGTAACTGTAACAGACTGTAACTAGTTCCAAAAAATGAGTAACTTAATTTTACAGCACTGAAAGAAATACGTTATAAACATGTTTCTAGCTTGTCAGCAATCCAAATAACAATAAAATTCAATTTTTATTACAGTAATTTGACAAAATGCCGTGGAAACTGCCAATTAAATTGCCGTAGACAGCTGTTATGTTTTACAGCAATTTTTAACGCCATATTGCTGTCGACTGATTTCAGGGAAATTGGAGGCCTGCCTGGTACATTTTACTATTATGAGAGGTGGATTTCCCCTTCTCCCCCTCTGGATGACAGAAATGTCCTAGTAGGGGGAGTTGATCATTTCTGGTATGAGCTAGCCTAGTACAATAAAATTGTGATGACTTATATCTTACACTTCTTTGATGGTTGGTATTAATGTAAGTCATGCAGTATGCAGTTTATGTACAAGTCTGCAATCATTGCCCCTCTGGCCATTGGGCACCCCCAGACACTTGAGTCAAGATGACTTCCATGTAGTTAATTAATTTAATTTATTAACTTACGGTACTTAAATAATGGTAACACAAAAACTGGCAGGACAATCGCAACAGCTTGCGCCAATTACTGCGCGATCCCTAACTGTTGGACAAATACTATAAGGTACATAGAAAAACCAATTACTAACGAACTATCATGACAGATACTTTTCACATTGTGACCCACTGTAGGACCACTTCCACTTTCTATTAAGGCTTGAATTGACAACATATTGTTAAGTAGTTGCACATAAAACATGTGTATATAGCACTGTCAGCAGGGACGCCAGAACGGTGTGAAGGCAAGGGGGGCAGATTTTCATGAAATTGGATGATTTTCATTTGGAATTGATATATACTAAGAGATGTTTCCAGAACATCGGGAGTTGAAATTTGCGTAATCTGTTTTCTATTTATTGGATGATAGGAATGTGAGGGGTTCTCCACCAGGCGATTGTGCTATTCTTGAGGCTCGATGATTGCGTTTCTTGCGTTTTCTGAAGCAAATTCGTAAAAGAATTGCACTAACATTTCTGACCATTCGCTATTTCGCCAAGGCAATCCTTTAAATTGAAAGGGCACCTTTGCCCCCCTTGCCCCTCCTGGTAAAGGGCAACAGGGACGGCTGCCCCTCCTGCCCCCCAGTTCCAGCGTTTAGGCAATGTTATCCTATTGAACACCAGCACTCTCCCTTCATCATGAGTATAATCATCTGGTGTTAGACAGAGTAAAATAATAAAGTAGAGTGCATTGGGCCACAGTGCATTGGGCCACAATGCAACTTAATGAGTTAAACACATGAATAAAACTCTTGAAATATAGTCTAGTATTCAAATCATTATGTAGCTCTCATATTGATTCATAGCATGATACCTGTACTGTATTTCAACTGCCATAAAATTGTTGTCCTGGGTGGGGAATTGCCTCTTGCAATTCCCCAATTAATAAATAATTTATTATAATCATACCTAATTTTAGTGTGCAGTGATAACCAATTTGTGCAGTGATGAAAGTAAAATGTGCAGTGATAAAATTTGCTGTGATTAGTTGTTAATTGACAAGAAAATGAGCAGAGAAACTGATTGAACTAAACTGTTTTGCCACTAAATGACAGTATTAATCAAAACATTTTGAATAAGAATAATTTGAATGAAATTGAAATGATAACTGCCAAATTAGGCGTAAAAAAAAATACCTGTGGTTCCACATAAATGTCCGCACTACTATTATACTTATATAAGGTTCATCAGATGCGAACAAAGTCTCCCACCAAAGATCTTTTTATAAGCTTGTAGCAGATTGTTAGATTTTCTTGAAAAGAAAAATGTCTTATATGACAATCAATTTGGCTTCCGTACAAAATACTCTACCGATTATGCAATTCTTAGCATAATTGACAAAATCAAACAGCAATTGATGACCGTGATTTTTCATGTGGAATCTTTTTAGACTTTAGTAAAGAGTTCGATACTGTAAATCATGAAATTTTGATAAAAAAATTGGAGTATTATGGCGTAAGAGGTATAGCTCTTAATTGGCCTCATATTGTATCTTGAAAATCGTCAACAAACTGTTACAGTTAACAATGTAACTTCGAACACAACAACAGTTTCCTGTGGTATTCCACAAGGATCTGTTCTTGGACCATTATTATTTCTGCTTTATAAAGATAAAGAGAAGCGTTGGAGTTTTATCAAAACTTCAATATTACGTAAATATAAACATTCTAACCAACATTTATTATGCTTTAATTTACCCATATTTAATATATAGGATAACTGTTTGGGGTAATACATACCTTACAACTTTACAACCCCCTTTTGTATTGCAGAAAAAATCTATGCGTATTATGACTTTTTCTAAATTTGATGACCACACAAGCCCTATCTTTAAGTCATTAAAAGTTATCAAGCTGTGTGATCTTGTTACACTGCATATTGCAGTTTTTATGTTTAAATTTCACAATCAAATGTTACCTTCTGTGTTCAGTTCCTTTTTTACTTCCAATCCGTTGAAACAATCCATAATTATAATACACGATCAACTGCAAATCAATCTTATTATCTTCCCAAAGGTTTCAAGGGCCTAAAGTCTGGAACTCGTTTGGTTTAGATTTTAAATCTGTCTCTTACATGAAATTTAAAAAAAATTTAAGAAATTAAAGAATTTTTAAGTAAATATTGATAATTTTTTGTTTTTCAATAAGATTCAATATTAAGACTGATTTCTGCTCCTCGTTTCAATTTTTTATTATTAATGAAGACTATGGTAGAACTTGTATTAGTGTATGTGTAAATATAAGTATAGTTTTGTGTTTGTGTGTGTAATGAGTACTGTATATCTTCGACCCGTAATGTAACTTAATTTATGTTTCCTGGCTTCCTAACTTTTTTAGCTTTTTAGTTATTTTAGGAAGCCAGTACCTCTACACTTTTAAATATCAAACTTGTTAAAATTTTATGTAACTGTAGGTAAATAAAATTTGTTGTTGTTGTAGGAAAATGGAGTGAATGATACTGTACTTACAGTAATGTAACGTTTTGGAATTAGTGTATAATCTTCAGAATTCTATAGAATGTTCCCACATATTGCAGGAAATGCCCTTTTAGAGAGCCTAGATTACAAAATTTTCTGTGGGTGCATGCCCCTGGAACTCCTCTAGAGTATTGTCACGCCTAAGCCGTCTTTCATTTGTCAAGATGAAAATATTTCTTTCCTGCAAGCATGTGATTATGAAACTATGCTGTCATAGATGGTCGTAACAGCAGGTGCTGTCAAGGCTGCCCAGAGAGGTGGAGGGGCCAATTTGCCCTGGGGCCCAGTTAAAGGCTGGCCCAAATAAAGAATTGTTACTGCCATAGTGAAATATACATAAATTACGTAGATTATATATTAACAAGCTTCTAGAATGCAGGATTTGTTCATTTCTGGCACCTCAGATTTCACCCCTATAATCATAGTGTTAGAGGATGGAATCACGAAGTGGCCCAAGTCAAATTTTGCCCTGGGCATCCAAATTTCCCTGGGCAACCCTGGGTGCTGTGCAGTGATGGTTGATTTTGGCATTTTTGAATATCAATTGTACAGTAGCTAACTGTTTTGTAAAATAATAATATACAGTAATTAACCAAATTATTGATTTTATCTCTGATCATGGATGTTTCTCAGAGTGGGGCTCAGTTCCTGCTGGTATACTACAAGGAACAATATTAGGGCTATGATTGTTCTTAATTTTACCTGTTCAAATACCCAAATAGGAGGTTTAATAGATTGTGACTCTTAATAGAACGACTCCAGTTAAAAACGAACTCTTATACTGTAAAAGTTAAGAAAGGACTCTTATATACAGTTAAAAGGACTCTTAGCTAAAACTCTTAATTGTTATAAGGACTCTTATACATATAGATAGATACAATTTTTTTTATAATTCCTTCAGTGTAAAACACTGTTATCAATGGAGGTCCTGTAATATGACTCTTATACTTAAAAATGACTCTCAGTTAAATAATATTTGGCTTAATATATAATTCAAAATTTCATGTACTGTAGTTGAGCACAGCTCTGAACTGAGACGCTATACAGAATACAAAGACACTCAGTGTTCCCTTTACAATTTCACTCTTTTTGTGCAGTGTTAGAATGTCTTTAAAATTATCCTGGTTGTGCTGCTCAATATAAAAATATACGATGATAAATTATACAAAATGTCAGACTGAGTATTGTATTTCATTTTTATCAGTGTTTCAATTATAAGATTGGGCATTAAATTATATATAGTTGTTGGAAATTAGCTCATTATTGTAAGAGCAAGTCTTCCTTTTCTTTAGCACTTTCTGCTTATCAAAAGTTCTTCAGCATACAAGGTGATTATTGGAAGGTAAGTCACAAGTTGAGTACACACTGTTAGACAATTATTTATTATATAGTAGAGAGTGAGATACTGAAAAATACAGTGAGATATTTTCCATATCTTCACTAGTGGAGATATCGATCACGTGACTTTTTCCAATTTGCTTTTGAGCGTGAAATTTCACAATTTTTTGCTTGGGACCATATAATAAACAGAACATTACACGTTGGCTTGAAGATATGACTTTTATCTTCTCGTGTTAAAACAATATTTCACTCACTCACTGCGCTCGTTCGTAAAATATTGTTTTCACCACTCGAAGATAAAAGTCATATCTTCGCGCCGCCGTGTAATGTCCTCTATATATATATATATAGTCAGAACATTAAGGGGGTAACCCCCAACACTCCAAGATTTACACCTCTGACCCCAAAACCCCCACCCAGGATTTACACCACATATGAAACATTCTGTGAATACTCGATTTAGAAGCCATAGTTTGGTTTCTTGTCCTGTCAACATATATACAGTATCATGAGACATCCTATATAATGTTAATAATCATAATTCATGCAACGTCAAGGTATTTAATATTGATCTGATGGGTAGTACACGCACTGTGCATTGTCCGTACAATTCTGTGTAACGTCCGTACCTAAAATGTTCACTAATAAAACTTTTGACCATTTAAGATTCACTGAAATGGTCAAAAGTTTTGTTAGTGAAAATTTTAGGTACAGACGTTACACAGAATGTTACGGACAATTAGCCATTCCGAAGTTGATGAGTGGACTGGGGACGAGTGTTAAAAAGTGTCCAAATTTTTAATCAGTAATTTCACAATTTTTGAAAGCTTATTATTCGAAGGATATTCATGTAAACGTCTTCAAACCTCGTATACTTACTAATTTTGAGGTGGTCTTTTTAGTGATTTGGTTCATTTCTTAATTTGGGCACTTTTTAACACTCGTCCCCAGTCCACTCATCAACTTCGGAAAGGCTAATACAGTAAATGTCACGACTTGAAATCCTGAATTGAAATTAATGCAATGTACATTAGTTTATTTAATTAGCCTTTCTCACGATGACGAATATCCGCCATTTTTGGGTGGCATCTAATTCTCGTTAACCAATGCAGACGATTAAAACAATGTGAATAGCAATTTTCCAAAATCAACTAACCCGCATTTACAAAGCAAATTTACCATCATTCGTCTAAAAAATTATAAAAAGTCACTGTTATGTGGACTTATCTCGCAGACTTCGGCTGAACAGCCACCCAAAAGTGGTGGCGTGAGAAAGGCTAATTAGCTGTTTATATCTCTAACAAAAGATGAAACTAATAGATTAGTCATTGAGAGACACGTGTATAGTATGTTGTAATCCTTGATTACTCTTGCTATTATTGACTTATAGTCTTAGTTGCAATTTAGTTAATATAAGTGTATATAAGAATTAGTAAGAAAAGTTCGCCAAAATGGCTCCGGATGTGACGGTGGAATGACGCATGTTCTGTCCCAACTCTCGTGGAAATTAAAAATAAACTGATCTGATGTTTGGACTTTCTTTAGGATGCACCATTTCTGTATGGATTAGGAATAGTATATTTTCACTATGGCGCTTATATGTGGTAAGTGTGTCATCTTCAGATTAACATATCGCTATTAAAAAGGTTGACCAAAATTACACATAATTTTTAGTGTCTCTCTATACAGTACAGGATGTGTAAAAAATCGGAAACCATCTTTTATGCTTAATAAAATTCAGAATAATAGACCTTATATTGTTCTTTTCTCTTTGGAACAAGGAGTCTGCACTTGTGTAGTAAGATATGTTCTACTAAGATATTGAGGGTGGTAAGGTTGTTTTCGTGAGCCGTGAATTGCATGCCAATATCTGTTCTCGTGAAATGTGAAATGACGGCTTTTCGTGTCGTGAAACGTGATTTACATAGCCGTGAACCGTGATAATTTTTGTCCAAAAACGAGAATTTATATGAGGCCTGCAGAATAAAGACTGGACGAGTAGTAAAGAAGAGCAATGCTTTGGATGTAGCAGTTTTACTGCATGTATGTGTTGTCTTGATTTATCGATTAGTTTTAAAAAGGCGCCAGTAAAATTAGTTTCGAAAACGGATAAAATGGCTAACAGGTTAAGAAAGGCATTAAATACTCAAGGAAGAAAAAATTAATAAAATGTACGCCAGGTTAATTGTACGCGAAATGGTTAATTTTTACATGTGAAACGTGAAATGACTGTTTGATTCGAACCCCACCTTTTCCACCCTCGACATTAATTGGGTCGTTGAAACTCTTGAATCACCAAAAGAACAGTTCGTTCATTGTTCATTGTGAGTGTCTCAGGAAATCCGCAATTTCCTTGGAATATCGAATATTTGAATCGTCTGGCAACGCCAACAGTACAAACTTCATTCATTCGAAATAAAATATTTCAACTCCGTTTTAACACGAAATATGTTATGTTTTAAAAAGTTTTTTGTGGTAAAAAATAGCCAAGGCTAGTGTAGGTAAGTCATGAGCAAGGAACACATCTATCCCATGAGACAGTTCATACAACATTAGTCATGATCATTCCTCATTTAAACAACCGAGTCCGTAATGTATGTAACGTTAGCGAATAAATTGAAGTGTAGTCGGCATGGAAAATCGGGTTTTGATGAACAATTTCTAAAATTCACACTTCTATCGAGGCTTGCGTTTTTTATACAACCTGTATATTCAAATTAAATATTGAAAAACTAGAAAATTATATTGTCTTTTTTATTTGCAAATCTGCATTTACGAGGCCATATTTTTTACTATAATACATATTAAGTGGCATAAATGTCGATTTTGATCAAATATTATACCTTAACTTAAAGTGAGTTAATACATGTAGCAATTCAAATAAAATAAGAATTAATTCACTCAAACATTGATCTTTGTGGTATTTTTAGGACTATAAAGGCATTTCAACAAGTACTGTATATAGATCCAGGATTCACTCGTTCAAATGAAATTCATCTGAAGTTGGGGATGATGTTTAAGATGCAGGGGAACTATGAAGCCAGTATGAAGGTGATTAAAGCCCCGTTTACACGAGCAAATTTTATTTGACAAATTTCATTTCTTGATGAAATGAAATTTGTAGCATGCTAGCTTTGTTCAATTGCTAGCATGCTAGCTTTTGTTCAATTGCATTTGTTACAATAAATTTGTCACAAATTTATCATCTACACGAGCAAAATATCTTTGACATATGAAATTTGTCAAATAAAATTTGCTCGTGTAAACGGGGCTTAAAGTATAACACATTTTAAACTACATTTTAAAGAATGAATGTTAAGTGTGTAGATTACGTGCTTGTGTTAGTGTTTACATTTTACCACTGACAGGTTTTTCTTGCCATACGTCGGATATACTTAGTTGTATAAAAGTCATTATTTTAATATTTTAAGTCCAGTAATCAAATATTTACTCAGCTTTAATGCGATTCGATTGCTTTATAACTAGACGCTTCACTACTAAGGCGAATTTTGAACCAGATGTGGTCTTTTAGTTTATAATGCAATATTAAATTTCCTATTTTTATACACAAAATGCTGCTCGATTGGCCTTGATTTCATGTAAGACATATAATTATACTCAAGTGATGATTGTTAAAATGTATGGCGAATTTTGGTGTCATGAAATGGTGACCGGCTTCCCTGCTGGCACAGAGGTCTCTATTTGCGCAGGGAAGCGAAGGCGAAGAGACCTCTGCCTAGATCTGACATTTCCTCAGTCCATGATCGTGGACGAGTCAAACCAGTTTGTAAAACAAGTTCTGAAACCGGTTTAGGGAAACAAATAGTACGCATGCTCAGAGCTGAATTACGCTGTAATGACATTGAGCCCGTAATGTCAAAATGGCGGCTTACCCAGCGTGGTCATTTCTAGGTTTTTCATGTTGTTTGAAAGTGCTCTAAGTTATGTAATTGATATTTTCAAAGATGAAACTGTGAAAGCAGTGACAGAAGAACAAAAGAAAGCAATCTTTTCTGTTTTATCGGGCCGAGATACATTTGTTTGCCTTCAAACTGGGTACGGTAAGTCTTTGATTTACCAAGTTGCTCCCGCAAAAACCGGTTTGATATCACGTGGTGAACATCATTCGTTGTCATGGCAATTTTTGCATATGCGCGACAGAAAACGTGTCAGATTTAGGCAGAGGTCTCTTCTCCTTCGCTTCCCTGCACAAATAGAGTACACTGCCAGCAGGGAAGTGACCGGCATGCATTGAGCCCAAAATTCCTTGTTTGTCACTCATTCTCGAAGGTTCTGTGCACTAAATTCTTCATGTAGTTTGGTATTGTACAATAATTGAACACCCTTTCGGCCTTTCCTAAGAATTCGATTAAAGCTGAAGTGCTTAAAACTACTTTTCTCTTTCAGCACTTTCACCAAGCCTTACTGGATTCACACCCGTGTTCGTTATCAAAATTTGAAAGTAAGTTCATTTTACTTGAATTATGTCACATAGATAGAAAAAGTTTATTTAAACAAGCTGACCCCGTCAACCGAAGCTGAGGGGCGTGTACAAAAGTGTACATATGAAGAATTTTAAAAGCCATTTACAAAATTATATATTGTATAGTATTATATATAACGTAATTAACTAGTATAATAATCTATTTACAACATGAGCGGCCGTGTTGTATCGGATATACAACTCGACTGGAAGACGAGTTTGTATATCCGGCTCGGGTTTATATATCCGATACAACACGGACCCGAATGTTGCAGTTGCGTGTGAAACGTCTTGATGAGAACATTCGTATTCTTTACAATTAAAATAAATGATATTTGGTGAGAAAATTGAACTTAAAGTTTACATATGTAAATCCGCATGATTCTGTATCTGTACAGTAGAAAAACAAACTCCTTCACGCTCTTCATTTCTTTTGTGTTTTCTTCATGAATAATGAGTTTAATAAATAGAGCTCACTGGTTCGGGCTTGCGACTGCGCATTTAAATGGCGCTTTCTGAGTCGGAAAGAAGTTAAATTTGAAAGAAAATTTCGATTTAGATAATAAATATTTTCAAATAAATATCTTGAATGTTTTCCCTTACGTTACCTCCATTCCACAATCTCTGTGAACTGTACAACATCCGGCCCTTCTTCAAAATCACAGAATGGTCACTCATAAATAGTAATTAATTTCAGTTCAATTTCACATTGGTCATTTGTACGAGATGCAGCACAAGTGTGAAAACGCCCGTGAAACGTACGAAGCTGTCGCCCAGAGTGAAAATGTACCAAACGATGTAAAGAGTAATGTTTACAAACAGCTTGGTAAGTGAGATAAACGACATTACCTTGAACCAGTGGCGGACACTATGTATATTGGTGGGGAGAGCGGGGGAAACCCACCCAAAATGTTCTGAAAGCCTTTAGATGACATAATAAAAAGTATTTTCCTGAACCGTGGGTGCCAATATTTTGTTCTCGTGAAATGTATAATGACGGATTTTCTTGATTTTTACTACATATATGATAAGTCTTTCAATGTTGAACTTTCAGTGGTGTTCAAAGTTAGTTCCGAAAACGTCAAAGTAGGCCTACGGATTGAGGAAGGCATCTATGATAAGTCTTTCAATGTTGAACTTTCAGTGGTGTTCAAAGTTAGTTCCGAAAACGTCAAAGTAGGCCTACGGATTGAGGAAGGCATCTAATACTCAAGATAGAAAATTACATAAAAAGTGTTTTTAATTTACGTGTCGTGAAATGCTTAATTTTTTTTGCATGTGAAACGTAAAATGGATGTTTTTCTTCACGTAAATGTGATTTGAACAACCCCCACCCCTTCACCACCCCCTATGATAGCTGTTAGGCTACAAATGAAGCTAAATAATGCATGAAACGTGCAAAATTATCTAATTCGCTCCCCCACCCGCATATTTTGCGAAGTCCCCGATATTCGTCCCCCAATATTTCAGTTCAGTCTGATAGAATGGCTGCAACTTTGTGGGGGGAGGTCAACCTTATAATATAAAAATACCATCGAAGTTACTTTCTCAACCTCGTCCCCATGGGCCTCGTCGAGGGAAGGGAGTGCTGGAAGAAGCCCTGGCAAAGGCTGAACTATCGTGGCCGTTGATTGGTTAAAACATTTAGTTTAGTTATCACGTGCGTTGCTGAAACGTTTCAATTGATCACTTTATTTATTTATTATGAGAAATGTAAGCGGGGAAAGAAACGGGATACAATACATGTCAACGTAAAGGAGCGACCATTTAACTAGTTATCGATAATAAATAGCGATATAAAGTCTTCATGCAACTTGGCAGTTGTCAAGATATTAAATAAGGTCGTATATGGCGCAATCCGTAACAATCAATAACTCAAATAACTTGCTGAAATAAAAGTTGTTGGATAAAAATCTCTGAGTGGGAAGTCTCTTTCATTGAAAGTTAAGAGCGACCGAGATTTGTTTGAAATGTCAAAAGGTTCACACATCAAGAACGGGTTACAAACGACATATTTTATCCGCTTACTGTCGTTGCAATGGAAGTGTTGATAAAATATCGCATCAATTAATTACTTAGAGCTGATCAATTCTTTCGTTGAAAAATTGATCAATTTTCTGTGTGTTTGAATCAACCAATGGCTTTACGTTTCAGTGACTGATTGGCCAATTGGGAACAAGCATGCCAGTAAACAGGAAGTTGATCAATTTTTCAACAAATGAATTAGCCTTTCTCACGCCGCCATTTTTGGGTGGAATTTCAGCTGATGTCTGTGCGATAAGTCCACAAAACAACGACGTTTTATAATTTTTTGGACGAATGATGGTAAATTTGCTTTGTAAATGGTTAGTTTATTTTCAAAAATTGCTTTTCGCGTTGTTTAATTGTCTGCATTGGATAATGAAAATTTGATGCCACCCAAAAATGGCGGATATTCGTCATCGTGAGAAAGGCTAATTGATCAATTAACGTTAGGTAATGAGTTGTTGCAATATTTTATCAACACTTCTATTGCAACGACAGTAAGAAGTATTATATTTTGTTTCTTTCATGAGAAACCAACATATATTACGGTGATAGAAACTAGAAAGTCAAGTCAGTCAAGGATCGAATCGAAATCGAACAAATCTACGCATAATAATACATGATATGAAGCATAATAATACTTATGAGTTTCGATGGTCAGTTGCCACATCCAGCAATTGCTAGTGTTACTGATAGGTGTAAACCTATGGTCGAAGTGTTGAGATCATTGAATAAAAAAGTATGAAGCGTCCGTGGTTTTTCTGTTGAAATAGTCCGACAAAACCGCACTCTTGTTGTTGTTCAAGCAAGCCTGAATATTAATGAGCATAAAAATATGGCGCGAAAATTTAGCCAATCTATTGGAAAGTTTGGTAATGCGACACCAGCCTTTGCCAGAGCCTTCTTGCAGCGCTTCTTTTCAAGCGCTGCTAACATGTACTGAAATGTATTCTGCACTTGCCATTTTTAGGTTGGATGTTTTTCACGAAGGAACAACTGGGCGAGAGACAAACCCGGTTGCAAGTTGCAGTGCAGTATCTTCAAAAGGCCATTGAAAGCGATAACACCAGCGGTGCTTCATGGTATTTGTTGGGCAGGTATGTCACTAATTTTATGGGACACACGCTATACCTAGCAACTGTCTATAATAATATACATGTATTTAACGTTGTTTTTCAGGTGTTATGCTGTCCAAGGCAAGGTTCATGATGCTTTCACTGCCTACAGACATGCGATTGATAAGTCAGATGCGAGTGCAGACACGTGGTGTTCAATTGGGTAGGTACATTATATCTGACATTTTCTATGCAAATTTCTTCAGCGATCTATTTTGATGTTTTTAAGTGCAATCTAAGTAAGATTGCAGGGTGTTCACTCCTGCACGTGCATGCTGGGAGACACATATCCTTAGTTTGCAAAGGGCAGGGCGCTTATATATAATCGCCCTGGTTTGGAGTGTCATGAATGGCGCCATGGCTCAAGAGGTTTGTTCCCATTTCAAAACCTCCTGTCAGCTATTTGTATTGCACAATATAATGGCCCAAAATAATGTAGATTTGTGTCAAGGATGGAAAAGATTGCTAATTTTCACCCATTTTAGGGTATTATATCAACAACAGAACCAACCAATGGATGCATTGCAAGCGTATATTTGTGCTGTTCAACTTGATCCTTACCATGCCGCGTCATGGACTGACTTGGGTATCTTGTACGAGGCATGTGGACAGCCTTTGTAAGTACACCTATTTCACTTAAATTTCTTTGATTGTTTTTAAATGCTCTTGCTTTGCCAATACTGTCAAATTAAATTGCTTCATTTTGGCGAGTAGGTGCATATCACACTATTTTCCTTGTCAATTTCTTATCACACCTTTGAAAATGGTTGTGCAATTGCCAAATCAAACTAGGACCTTTAGATTTCGTTAGTGGGGGCCACCAAGGAACGGGAACCTAATTAGATATCGGTGAACTGGTGAACTGGCAAGGGGTCTGGGGTCTAACTTCATCATTTCCGTGTAATTGAGGTTGTGGGGTTTGAATCAATTTCGTTGATATATTCCATCTACACAGATTGTGTTTTAAGTACTATTTAAAGCACGCGTAGGAGTGTTTTTTCAGATATAAAACGCGAGGCGCAGCCGAGCGTTTTATATCTGATAAAACAAGACTACAAGTTTTAAAATAAACTTTGTCCAAACCGAGAAAATCAAAGCTAAAGTTTTATGTAAATTAACATGATTTTTTATCACATATAAAGATAGACACGCTTATGATTTTTCTTTGCGTTTTCTCCTGAATTATTAATGAGTTTTTTACATATAAATGCAAGGTTTGGTTATAAAACACCTTTCTGAACTAAGTCATTCTAGACTTGTTTTTTTGCTGGTATTTTAAACAAGTTAGGAAGCTTTACTAGGGCCAGCATATTCGATGGGGAGCTTTGACCCCCCCCCCTTCCCTCCCAGCTTATATGTTTAAAATTATTCCTTTCATTAGTATATGCCGAAAGGCCTTCCTTTGTACTGTTCGTGTAGGATGATTCATTTTCCTGCATTCTCTTTTGATTACCTTAGAATATAAGTATATGTTTACGCAGTTGCTCTTGTGATAATTGAAACGTAGAATAAGGATATACTGTATATACTAAAAAGTATATAGAATACTGCTATTAAATGCTAGGGAAAATGTTCGATTCCACGTATTTGAGGCACTATATATAGAGATACTTTATGTAAAGCAAGTACAGTATATAACTAGTAATTATTACTTACTATAAAATCATCTATTTCAGAGACGCAGTAAAATGTTATAATGCTGCAAAACGATGTGGTAAGTATATTACAGGTTTTCATAGTGTCGTTTTCGAGGGGATACACTTGAATAATCCAAGTCTGTCCATTAATATATACAGCTGATCCTTGGCTTTATCATTATATGCAGGGTCTATCAAATTATCCTCTGCTCTGCTCTATTTAAACTCGTTTGAAATTCTTGAAAACGCAAGGCTTCATATTTTATATAGAATATACACTTTGTGAATTCACTAATTATCCTTCCAACAATTAGTTACCTTGTACCGGAGTATTAAGCTATTGGCCTTGGATACGTTGTCAAGAACTCTGAACTGTACAGTTGGATAATTGAATTTCAATTGTCTTGTTACACTCGACAAAAGATCCATTTCTGGACCTTTGTACAATACATGCAATGCTCTTTGGTGGAAAGCATTACTTAGGGATATATAGCTCGATGTTTTTGCAAGGTTAATTACCCGATATGAATGACTGCTTATAGTGACCAGTAAATCAATTCTCCAAGATATTGCATGATGTTTTGGCGTTCTACAATCTGCAGACATGCATGTCACCCTAAATACGTGCAATCTACGCCATACATGATGTTTCGGCGATCTACAATCTACAATCTGCAGACATGCATGTCTACCCTAAATACGTGATAACACCGCATTTATACACATGAGTTTGCTCTCACCAAGCGCGTGTGGTACAACACAGTGACACCAACGCATCCAGATATGTACTGAGTGTCGTGGGACCAGAGTGCTCAAACAACCACAGGGAAGTGAGCTTTGCAATGTCGCTAATTGACACCTATTAATCAATAACACCGAAGTGAAGGAGCGTACCTAATACTACAGTTTGCAGAAATTCATGATCTACGTCTCATCAGTGCAGCTTGGTAAACGTCTAGATACGTGATGACACCGCATTTATACACACGGGCTTACTCTCACCAAGCGCACGTGGTACAACGTTTATTTTCGGAAGGTTAACGATAAAATTTGTTTTAATAGGTGCTTCTAGTCCAGCACTGGATGCTAGAATCAAATTAATTCAAGCTCAAGCAGACTTGTCTCCGAATATGAATCCACAAACAAAGTAAGTTCATCGTTTTTCTGTTGGAGTAAAATAAAGAGCTTAATAAAACTAACATGTAAGAAAGGAAAATCATCATCATACATGGAAGGAATAAAATGAATCAATAAAAGTTAGATGTCTCCATTTACAACACAATGGTCGACGTTGCGCCAACGCGAGCATGTATCTAACCGCTGCTATATATGTAGTGGCGTGTTCATATAGAAAGGTTTATCCCACATGTCCAGATGATTTGGGAGAACTCTGCATGCTGAGATCTTGGCAAGCAGGCAGCTAGCCAGACATCTTATATGAATGCATTACTCATTGCAGTATTAATAGGAAAATAGATACGAGGTGAGATTCTCGCTGAGCAGGACGTCATGTCAAGCAGGATCATGTAAACAGACTTCCAGACTAAACATGGATTTTCAAAATAATTTTCTTTCAGGAGCTTGCCGTTAATTGAAGAAGCGTGGAAAATGCCAATACCTGCTGAATTGACTTCGAGAACTAAGAGTGCAAAGGTATGTATAAGCAGGAATTTTGTTACTTCAGGTTGAAGGTTGGAGTCTAGATAAGGTGTATATACTGTAGAAGACAGACTTGCTCCTCAGATCAAGCAATATAACCGTCGAATGTAAGCATATTAGATAAACGAGGAACAGAAACTAACGAGGTTTCCCCCAGTAATGGGAAATAAAGGGACAACAACTCAACTTGTTTGCCCAACGAAAACAAAGGAAGAAAGCAGACCTGCATGTTTGACACCTTCAAAATTTTATTCAATGATTTTGGCGGCCTTAAAAGCTTTCCTTTTAGTCTATTATTTTACTCTCCTGAAGGATATCTTTTTATCTGATATCAGGTCCATTGTGAGAGAATGGTGATATATTAATACAGTGAATAAAGACTAATTTTTATACCGGACAAAAACACCACAAAGATCAAGACTACTTGTTTTAACGACCAATTATATAGGTGGGGTGGGGCCGACAACGATTTAAGTCGAAGCGGCCTAAATAACACATTCGACAGGGTGTATTGGATAAGTTACGTGGGAATTAAACAGCCATATTTCATGTTTATTATTTTTTCGCCGCCTTGACTGTTGTAAATGTTGTTTTTACTTGCAGTCTCAACCACAAGAATCCACAGTCCAACATCCATCGACGTCGTCCACCACACACCAAGCTCAACAACCAACACATCAACCACAACATGCAGCAACACAACAACAACATCCGGCGGCGCCACAACAACAACATCCGACGGCGCCACAGCAACAACAACAACAACAACATGTGATAACGCAACAACAACATCCGACGGCGCCACAGCAACAACAACAACAACAACATGTGATAACGCAACAACAGCATCCGACGGCGCCACAACAACAACAACATCCGTCGGCACCACAACAACAACAACAACAACATCCGACGGCACCACAACAACAACATCCGACGGCGCCACAACAACAACATCCGACGACGCCACAACAACAACAACAGCAACATCCAGCAGCGCCACAACAACAACAACATGTGATAACGCAACAACAACAACAACAACATGTTACAACACAACAACAACATGTGACAACGCAACATCAACATGTTCTTCCACATCTAAATCAGAATCCACAACTTCAGCCGTCGAAATACACATCTCATCATCCACAGCAACGCCAAGTGCATCAACACCCGTTGTTCAACTCGCACGTGGGAGCTTCATCTCAAAGTAGCTCACCTTTCTTACATCCGGCATCCACAACTCATTTCCCAAATGGGTCAACACGTTTACCTCCTACAAGTAGTCAAACAGACCCTGTAACCTCACGTGGTCGTAACGAACAATACGCAGTGCAACCCACTAATATGCACTATCAAACTCAATCTCACGGCAACACAACAGATTTACACACTATGCAACATCATCATGCGGCAGGTAATTTTCCACACCCAGTACACACGCTATCTATATCTAACTCGCACCATACTCCCAGTGGTTTTACATCAACACCAACCGTACAAACCTTCTTGACCCCAAGTACAAGCATGCATTCAAATCTCCCCACTTCACATGTTTCCTCGACGGTTTCACCTGCTGTTGTACAGCGTTCATCTACGGTAACCACGACTTCAAACATACCACCATCTTTAGTGGATTTTCAAGTGGATCCCGACACAGGGTTACCACTGAGCATCATTAACCTTCAGAATGGTGGTATGCTTAGGTCCACACCGACTCCAGTGCCTCGGCCGGTGTCCGAAGGCATTGAAACTCAAGATACTCTAAGTGGTATGCTTATTACGTCACGAGATCCAGTGTTATCTGCAGGTCCATTAATGAGCGAACCTTCAACATCAAACACACCGACACAGCCATTAACAGTGAATGTATCTACGTTATCATCAGTTAGTGTTAGTAGTCCGCCACTTATATCACCTTCATTAATGTCGCCTGGATTGTCATCTCCAACGAGACATTACTCGCTACTTTCACCATCCGAACTGAAAAAGTCCAGTCAGCAGGGAACTGGCTTGAGTGGTCTTGGCAGTGTTAAAGTGAGTTTGCTCTTGGAACCTGGTGCCTTACCACAGCCGCCAACTCTGCCTCAACATCCTTGTCCTGTAGAAAAATTATCGCCACCGACGCCTAGCATTCGTGTAAGTACTTGTATTTCCGTCGTATTTGTGTTGAATATGTTAGCATGCATATATTATATTCCAGAGACGTTGTTGAAGAGTGAACCAGGATTCAAATAGGGGCAGATACTATTAATAGTTCTTTGTGAGGCTAAAATAACTGCAACCAGTTGCGAGGACCCAAAATTCGATCCAGACTGATTATATTTTGAGGTTTGAAATGACGTCTTCTTATGTAACAGATTTCCCTAAATCTGAATTACTAGGGTTTCACAGACCATTTCTGCAGTCCTAGGACTTTTAAAGCTTATCTGTTCCAAGGTAAAACAAATTTTTAACCTCTTAGGTTGAAACTAAATCTGAGGCGTACTCGCCTGAGCTGCAAAATCTGTGCCTTTCTCCATCGCAACCAATCACAGTTATAAGAGGACTTGATAAAGCGCTTGGTATAGGTAAGAATAATTTGTAATTATTTTTATGTCTTATATTTATTTAATTAATAGCCATGCACAATTCTAGCACTGTTTAAATATTTGTCACCCACTTTACAAGTCTAAGTTTACGAAAGCAAAGAATAGAACACAAAATAACTAAGAATTAGAGAATTACAGTACCGAGTACGTCATATTTGAGTTCATTTCTGAAAGTATTCAGTATATAAAGTAACAATAGTTTATTCCTTTTCGTTTTCTGAAGATCTAGGTTTATTTTCGACCAAAGCTTTGTTGGATGCCCATGCAGACCATGAAGTTGAAGTTCGAACACAAGTTAGTAGCTTCTTATGTTTTAGATATTTCACTTGCATGTAATGTATTGATGAGAACAGTAAAGTCCGTCGTTTTTTGTGATCAAAACGGTGTTGGTGACAACCTCAACATTGACTTTTTAAAATTAAAAATGGACACAACGTTATAGGCTTTGCTACATCTAGTGGTAGTTTTAAGTTATTCACCATTCCACTGAATGTTATTTTCTTCTGGTATCATTTAAATTCTAAAAGAACAGGGTATATAGTATTTCATGAAAGAAGCTGTTTGTAACTGAAAAATTATTTAACCAGTGCGATTGCGTTGCCGTTCATCCTCGGTATGCTTTGATAATAATATTGAGTTATTTAATGTCAGTGGGTTGCAATACATACCCATGCTCAAAACCATGGCTTAAGTGGTTTTAGAAAAAACTCGAAACAGGGGAGAGCCAACCAAACTTTACTTACATGAGATTTCAAGTACAAGGAAGTTACCCAACCAAACTGAATCGTCTACTCTCGGCCTACAGGACAATGGCGTAACTCAGTGATAAGGGAGAGCATGCAGCTAACCGGCCGTGAGAGGAGACTTCTGCGAGAGGGATATCAGGATTTGGGGCATCTAACTCGATCGAACTAAATGTTGAAGGCTTTTTCAAAGATGGAAATTTCGAGAGGAAATTATTATACATCTTTAGACCTAACCAAGAGCGGCGGCGAAAAGTGCGACTATATGCCCAGTGAATCGAACCTGCGATTCCGGTGCAGCCCAACTGAGCTGCAGAATCCAGTCAAATCCGAATCTGCAGAATCCGAAACCCTTCAATATATGAATCAGTGATACCCCCATGCATGTAGTGTTTGTGTAAATAGTCTCAGTGGCGTAACGTTATAAAATTATATATATAACGTTCAAAATTTTCGAAGGTCCCCTAGTAGAAGTGCCAAAGGCACGAGTCGAGCGCCGTATATGCACGAGTTTTCTAGGAGGGGGGGGCCGGGCATGCTCATCCGGAAAATGTTAGAATCTAGAGTCTCTGAAATGCCATTTCCTGAACTTTGGGGAGAGATTTTACACAATTCTGATGGTCAGAAAACGACATTGTAACATATCACAGGCCCTGGCCAATGTTTTTGCTCTATCGCCTAAACCTGGGGGGCCCCATTTGGCCCATTGGGGTTGGGGGCCCCCTGGTTCTCCCGGTCTGAGCCCATAGTAGTTACGCCACTGAATAGTCAATTAAATATTTTTCTCTCTGTACATGTTAGAAACAGCAGCTGTCAGAGGAAAATATTGATGACGAGGGACGAAAGGTTTGGCTGTGCGAAAGTAGCAGGTACGTGAATCTTATCAACTGAAATACGATGAGTCTTTTTTGCATAGCTGATTTAATTAATTCAAAGCAAAAAAGCAATTAAAATATACATGTAGTCCAACTTCTAGTGATATATCTCATCTTGTGACTTTATGTATACAGTAGCTAGCATAAAAAATACTGCCACTTGTAATAGCTAGCATAAAAAATACTATTGATATAAAATTAGTAAATTGTTCTTTTTTTCAGGTCATACTCTACTATTGCCAAATATGCTCAGTACCAGGCTACGACCTTCCAAGAGGTTTGTGCAATCTTTTTTCCACCGTTTTTAGTGTGAAGTTTCACTTCACACTATTGTGATGGCTGGCGAATTCACACGAATCAGTCAGTCAGGGAGTAAACTTTCCGGGGGGTGTATACGATTTATGTTCGTAGTGATTTATTGTACTTAGTCAGTACTTTGAAGGTTATTTAG